GGGCTCAGAGCGGGCGGGTTTGGGATCAGAACGCTCCAGGCCCCGCGGGAGGGAAACAGCGGCAGAGCCCCCGCGGTCCGAGATTCGCAGGCCGCAGGAGCAGCGGCCCCTCAGTAACAACCGCACAGAGAGTAACCTGTGCAGTGAGAGAGCCACACTGGAAATCCCAATTTTGTTTAATAAAGAGGTCAGGAAACTTGAGAATACATGTATTTCTAAAAAGGTACGTTTCTCTTTTTTCTTTTTTACTTTTTATAAGCAAATGCATGCTCATTTTTCCTACTTCAACATATAACTTGGACTTTCCCTCTGTGACAGTCCCTTAATTTGAAAACTCAGCAAATTAGCTATTGTAACAGGATCCTCCTTTGTAATGATTTTGAACGTCAAAAATCTTTCTTTGCTGCTTCAATATGGCCCCAATAGTGGGAGTTGAGGGAGCAAAAATTGGCTGACAGAAATATTACAGTTCAAGGGGCTCAATGCTGTGAAAAGTTAGGTTCTTGCCTAAATACTTCAGTTCTGTTGTAGTTTCATTGTACCCATTTTCAAAGTCTTTCCTGAAAATTACCTTCAAGTGTAAGTTTAATACATATTTGCAAAAGGTTTGTTCATAGTAGAAGTACAGACCTGTTTTGTCAGTTCTCAGTTCCAGAAATAACAGTTTATATAATATCATAGCTTTTGTGGAAGTTTAAAATTTGTGTTTTCAGAATCTGAATACTCTTTTGTGGCAATATAATAAATGTTATTCCAAAAGATCCTTTTACATCTCAGGCCTCAGAAATAACTAATGTGTCTATCTTGAGATAGATTAGGACAGTTCAGGGGGAAGTACAGTGATCACATAATCCAACAGTGGATTTTATGGCATAAGACAAGGGTTATGTGTCACTGTAGGACTTCACTCCCATGGGATTCAGGCTCTGGATTGCAGATTCCAGTTGAACACAGTCACCACAATTGACAGGTAAGTCACAGATGTGAAATATAATTATGGGAAGTGGGTTCCTAAATATTGGCTTCCAAACCATTTAATTCAAGGAGAACCTCCACTAATTTTCTATAAAAGGTGGTTGGAGCTCCAGCATCATCAAGCAGTGAAGGAGAGCAGGATTTTCAGGTTCTAAGGTTTGAGTAAATTCCATTTATTGCAGATGATGTTCTGCCACCTGAGGGGAGTGAGCTATCTGGCAAAGATAATCACAGGGATCTGCTCTAATACTCACTGAACACAGGGAAAATACTTTGGATTTATGCTTTACCTCAAAAATGAAGTCAGGATCCATTGGGGACACATGTTACATCAGCCAGGACACAAAGGTGACAAACTCTAGGGTTGTCAACAGAAGGAATTTACTTCCTGCTCCAAGATAACAACAGTTCAATCCAGGATTTCCTTCTAAAACAAAATGAACTATGTACATGCACTGAAAGGCTGATGTTTAGACATAACAGTTGTAAAAAAAGCCTGTGTAAAAGATTTCACTTCCTGATATTCTATATGTAGTTGAAATATTTGGTCTGATAATGAGAAAAACCAAATTCCTGAGCATTGAAAGAATGATAATTTAACTCCAGTCTTTGCTGATCACAGGTATGTTCTTGACACATGGCAGACCTTGAATAAAAATCATCATCACAAGAAGTGTCAGGAGAAAACAGCATAAAGTTCAAAAAACATTCCTTTTCAAGTCTCAGAAAGGTCCTTTTAGGGTATCACAGAAGAAAGGGAGGAGTTGGCCATTCAATTTTTATAAGTTTGAATTGCCTTTTTTTTTAAACTGCAAAGCGACAGAAGACACTAGAAACCTCAAAACCATCAGTGTCTATATTCATCTGAAATTTCAAATCTCTGTAAGAAAGCTGCATTTACCATAATGTTTGTTTTATAAAACGAGGTTGTTAGATGAATTTTATCAGTCAATCAGCATATGATCTCTAATTTCCTTTAACTGGTTTTCATCCCAGCATCTTGAATACCCAGAGGAACCTTCTTTTCCTATGGAAGTAAGTCTTGAAGTAAATTGTCCTTATTTTCTACTGCAATGTGAATTTCAGTTTCTTCTTTCAAAGCATTCTCTTCTTTTGAAAGGAGAGTTTCTTCCCCTGTTGGGGAATAACAGGGAGTGTGTCCATAATCCCTGCTAGTTGACTCAGTCTGCTCAGGGCACTGGGAGCTGCAGTCTGGGTTACAAAATTTAACAATACACATCACATTCACCTGCGTTCCTCCATTACCAGAGTGCTCTGTCAAACACAAAACATGAACGAATGAAACCAGAACAGGGCAGTTGGATTCTTTATCCAGCTCTTTCACTTACAGTTAAAATAGACACTAAGTCTTTTTTCCTTTACTTAATTTAGTCAAGCTGGTTGAGTTGGTATCATAAAATCCACATATCACCCCAGAAATAAAAAGGCTACAAAAATTAATGCAGAGATCTGGATTGCAAACAATTCTTTGCCCACCTGTTGTCATTTCAAATGCTTTTGACAATGTTCTTTAGTTACTGCTCCCTTTGGCTTCTGCTCCCACTCCCAGGTAAGTGCCAACCACCCTGACCCCTAAATACTTGTTTCTCCACTGAGAAAACTCTCTTTACTGTCCCAGGATGGCAACTTAAAACAATCACTTTTTCTTTTAAAAAGTTACTAAGGTTTCCCTCTGCTGAACAGGACTCAGATGTTTTATCCTGCCATTTAAACTTCTACTAAAAAGACTCATAATTGATAATCAAATTTCAAGAGGTTCTGGATCTTTCAGAATCATTACTACCTGAACTTGCAGAGCTGTGTATGTCTCCACTCTGAAGTTTAGAACCTTCTGGAGGTGAATGTTGCTGCTGAAATCCTCCTGGGTTTTTCTTTTCATGATTCTTTTTACTTAATACACTGATGCTTGCAGATCCAGCTGGATTATTCAGGATGCTACTGCTGGACCCAGAAGTTTCCAAGAGATGCTGTTGCTCCAGTTCACAACTCTGCAATTCTGTATCTCTCACTTTTTTGTCACACTGTTTTTCTGGAGGGGGAACAGGCTGGAACATTTGCAGAGAAATGCAAAATGTTAATCTTTAAAAAAAAAAAACAACCGAACGACCCACTAGCAAAGAACTGGTCAGTATTTTGGCAGCTAAAGAAACCACTGATGATTGGAACTAGAGGAGTCCAAAGTCCCTTCCAAGCCAAGCCATTCTATAATTATTTTCATTTGCATAGTGATGAGTGCAAGTAAAATTCATAGCAGCTCATTAGGAGTTCAGCAAAATGAACCCATTTCCTGAAGGCACCCACAGTACTACTCTGATTACTTAGGGACTAAAGGCTTTCCCATTTGGTTTTCCAAACCCCACCTGAATTTTACTGCTGTTTTTAGCCTCACATAAAGTGAGGGTGGAACATTATGTGGGATATAGAAGATACATTTTACACTCTGGCTTGGGGACCAAACCACCCCCTTCTCACTACAGTTTTCTTTCTGCTGTGCAGTTTTCTTCTACTTGTACTTTAGTGAGAGTTTATGATTTCTGTATAACTTTTAAAGAAATGGAAGAGATTGAAAGAGAGGACACTCACCAAATCTGCTTCTGTAGCTGGTGCAGAGTACCCAAGGGCTGCCAGTGAGCAAAGACAGTTTATTAGCACCCAAACCTGGCCCATTTGCAACAGCTGCACCCTAAACTAGGCTGAGTGATCCCCTGCTCCTGGAATAAACTACAAATGTACATTTATTGCATACAGTTTGAAAACAGTGAAAGCTGTATTGTGTTAATTTTGTGATTTAAATTTAGCCAGGAAATACAGAGAGGCCTCTGCATTAAATCATAACTTTTCTTGTATAGTGTCAGTGAGAAAAGGTGTTGATGACAATAAACCAGAGTCGTGTCTGTTTAATTATAACACCTGAAATTGTCTAACATTTAAATGATGAAGTACTGAATAATTAACAAGCTTCAGCAGAAGCACAACTGTTGCACAGTTGTCCAACTCCAAGGCTGTTTTCTGTTTAGACAATTACCTAAAATCTGAGGAACAAGACAGATTTGAAGAAAGCTGACATCTTTTAAGACACTAATTTCAGTCAACCACCAGGCTCAGGTTAATGGGAAATAAGGTGACACTTTGCAGCTTTTACAGATGTGCTTGTTTTCACTTCATGAATCTTACCTTTCTTTTTTGAGACTAAGCAATACCCCAAAATAACAATTATTAGGACTAATAACAACGGCCCTGCAACTGCTCCTGAAAATAAATAAAAAGAAGAAATTATTTAGGAGGTTGCTCTAACAAAAGATTGAATTAGAAAAGGGTAATTTTGTAGTTTCTGTCCATGGCTATAAAAGCTAAATTTAAAAGTATTGTGTATGTCTGACATTCACATTTGACGTCTCAGTTGTCAGATACCAAGGTCTCATTTCAGTCACCACCACTTCATAAAATTGAATTCTCCGCTCATGAAAAGTGAGGACAGACTTTTGGCCTTGGTCACAAAAGGTATTTCTCTGGGCAAGCAAGAGTTTGTCACATACAAGGGCAAGTACTCAAAATGCTCCTAAACATGTCTGGATGGGCTGTGAACAGGACAGAACACATCCCTGCCTGGGAATGCTGTCAGCACTTTCTGTCTCAGCAAAGGCTGACAGAAGACTCCCAACGACCTCCAAGCCAGGTCAGGTTTGCCACAGTCCAGAATCTAAGATACAACCTTTCCTACCAGCTATAGCAGCAATTCTCAGGAAATGCCTTGTATAACCTAGTTTGGAGTTGTTTTAGAAATATTTCCAGATTTACAAGGACTGTAGAATGCACTGGGGTAGTGCAGATGCACAGGTAAATGCAGCTCACTACAAGCAGTGTCACATTGAATTCATTGAGCTCTTCTGAGGCTCTGTTTGGGTACAGGTGACTGGTCTTGGAAAGACACTGACAACTAAATATAACTTGGTTCCTGGTCAGACAAAAGTGTCTTTAAATGAGTTAAAACTCACCAGTGATGTGGGACAGGTCAGGTACAGAGTTTAACCTGACAGGTTGAGTTACTATTTCAGGTTTGTGGGAATCTGAGCTTTGGGTCAGAAGTTGGTTCAAAATGGTGTGAGGCAGAACTGTGGCTGTTCCTGAGTCACTGCAAACAGTGTCATTCCTGCTGGTCCCAGGAACAGCCACTGATTTACAACTGCAAGAGACAAAAATAGAAGTTAGGAAAGACAGAAAGCCCTGCACAGTTAAGGCTGCTGTTGGACAGAACACTGGCTCACACAGTATGGGGTGTACAGCTGGTGTTGTAGGATTCCTCAGGGGAGAACGTGCCAGGAGGACAAGGTTTGCATTCTGTGTCTGTGCTGTCTGTCCCTGTAAACAAAAACTCCAATTACTTATCTGGTGAGAAACAACAATGAATAGTCAGGGTCTGCAAGTGATCCTGGCAGTGATGCAGTTGCAGTGCAAAAATACAGCCTATAATTGTCACAGAAGACATTGCCTTAAGCACCCAACCCAAAGAGAAGATTAACCAGCTCTAAGTTTGGCTCCATTAAAGGTTCAAATGTGGTGCTGCAGACAAAGCTGAGCTTTTCACCTGACTGACTGTCTACCATACTGTTGAGTTCTGCATCTTCTTAAATGATTCCTAGTTTTTTTTTAAATGTTCAGTCTTTCTAATATTTAAAAATTATTTCTCATTTTGAGACACATGTATTATCAGGGTGGTGGATTCCATCAACTAATAAAACCAGATCAATTCTGCAGGACAGAATAGAGTCATCATTATTTACTGTACCCAAAATTCCACCTGAAGCCCTGTTTCAAGGATTTAAGAAGTGATTAAGTGGTCTTGGTTCTCAGTCACTTGTACAGAATAAATCACACAGTAGAGCAAAACAAAGATTAAGTTAGATTGGGAACTTTGTGATATATGACAGTAAGAAATTGAAACATGTTGTCCCTTTGGATATACCTCAGGAGAATACTGTTACTCTGGTTAGTGCTTGCTTGCTAAGAATGTAAAAATAAACCCTAAAAAGAATGCACAACTGTAGGGAATTAGGCCAGAGTAAGTGTTCAGTAAGCAGTGTTAAAAATCAAATTACCTCTTCTGGAAACCCGGTAACCTTTGGCGCATTTTTTATGTGCTCTGCACACCTCACAGTACTCGTCTAGCTTGGAAACACAGTACTTGTGGGGTGGGCAGCTGCAGATTCTGTCCTGGGACCTCGTGCATGTTTGGTTCTGTACAAGCCCTGGTTTTAAAACAAGAATGAAGTGAGATGTCAATGGCAACATTTAAAATCACAGCCTGCAGCGTTTCGAGTGAACATGAGGTGATGTTCACATACAAGTTTTAGGATTGTATAGCACCATAAACCAAATGTATTATATGCCCTAATGTCTACATTTTCAGAAGAGTTTTCTCTTTCTAGGCAAGGAGAAATTTGCACCTGTAGAGTTCACACTTAAAAGTCTGTGCCTGCAGTAGTGTTGTATTTTGTCATAACCCCAAACACTGGCCATTTGTGTTCACCACTGCCGTACCTGGGGGCCACACTGACATTTTCAGTCTGTGCAGATCATGTCACTGTATTTAAAGCGTTTGGAGATTTTACTACAGACATTTTCATATTGTAATTAACCAACTTTGTAAGATTATCTATTTAGATGAGACTGAAGGTCCTTTCAACTTAGACTGTATCCTTAAAACTTACTTCTCAATGAATCAAGTATATAATGTTCTACACCAATGTCATTAGAAATGATGGAGAACACCATGACTGAGTTCATTAATGCAGGTCATCTGTCAGCCCAAAGTGCAGGTGTTACAATATTCTACCTTATGTACTGTTAAGCTGCTTCAGTGAACAGAACCAGTGTTCTCTCACTGACTGCTGCTTTGCAAAATAAATAAAATTAAGAGAAGAATATCACAATCTGTGTTTGCTGTTGTCACTTCAGCAGACAAATGAGAAATGACAGGATGCTGGAAATGTAATTATCCATTTACCCATGTCCAGGTCACGTCTTAATGTCTCTTGAAGGGACTTTATAAGCAGGAACCTGTTCTACTGATGGCATTTGGAATATTTTAGTGATGTAGTGCCTTAGTTTTTAATAATGTAAGATTGATGTTTCATTTTTAGGGCATAAAAAGAAAAAGGGCCAGGGCTCCCTGCAAGACTTTTCCTTGATTCTTTTTCCTAAATCTTACACGTTCCAAAAGCATGAAAACTACACAAATGGTTGACAAAATCTCCTGGTTTTCTTAGGAGAAAAGACAAGGTTAAACCAAGCCCAGTCTTTAGGCAGCCTCTTTACTAATCCAAGCCTACCTTTCCTGCAGGGTGGTGAGCAGGCAAAGCACTGTGGAGAATGATTCCAGATCGCTGTGTAGGTTTTAGCTCTGCAGGGGCTGCACTTGGTGTCCACGGTGTGACTGCAGCTTCCTGTCCTATACTGACCTATTAAAAGAAAAATAACCCAAGCCAAAACAGAGAAAGCATCTCACTGGAGAAGATCACTAAGAATTAAGTCTCATTCTGAGCTGTAGAACCCCTTCCCTTCACTGACATTGTTACATTGGTATCATATACCAAGGAAGTCATGTAGAGGATTGCATGTCTCTACAGGGAAAGTCTGATTTATGTCCACCCATGTTTGACCCCTTTTCCTATGTTCAGTTCAGTGAATTCCAGCCACATTCAAAACAAGGCAGCCTCAATCCTGAACAAAACCTCTCAGCACATACTTAGGTGCAGCTACCACAATACACAGACCAAACATTTTACCTTCCCAGAAGCTGTTTTGTGGTGAACACATGGAGGTGTTTCACTCCCAAAGTGCCAGAGTGATGTGCCTGGGTGAGACCCTTACTGCTATTACAGGCAGTGAGTGCAGAGGGCAAGATCAAGTGACATCACAAACAGGCCTGAAATAAAACTTCACCACTTGTCACTATGAAAGGGACACGAGCCCACTCTTTGTCTCTCACATCTCCAGCCAGCCCTAGCAGAGCCAAGCAGGGAGTTTCTGAAATTACTGGCATTCCAGACAAAGTCAAAAACTACCAAAAGTAGCTTCTCCAAAGCTTCTCACCACCAGCAGAGTTTAGTACAGTGGTGGGAAGATGTAAATATGAGTTCCAACATACTTATTCTGGAGAAAAGAAAACACTTCAGTTGCCATTTCCGTTTCATGTGAAAGGAAAAAGATAAAAGTCAATGTCTCATATCCTTTACAAAAATATCCTGGAAAACAGAAAGCAGGAATAACACTGAAAAAAATTTAGAGCTGCTTGGAGAATCTGTTTTTCAAAAGAGGCCCTGGATGTGTGAGCCAAGTGAATTAATTCCAAAGACTTTGTTTTTCTCTATACTTAATTGAAATTTTGCATTCTGCATGCTACATCCTGCTAATGATTTAGGCTGATTTAGTACTGAACACCAAATAACACAAACGTTTTACCTGTGAATTATCATCTTTCGTCTGTCATGAACAAAGGAAGTTTGACAGATCTAGCTAGACAATTTCAGTTAATTCAAGAAACTGTAGCTGTTTCAGTAAATACTGATTTCCTGTTTAAACTTCCGGATCTGGCAGGCATTCAGCATTTATGGAGACAAATTGTCTTTGCTCAGCATGTAATGAGAAAAAAAAAGGCAGCCTTTTTGCTGTTTCTAATATAATAATATAGTTGCAACTTATTGCAAAGATTCTACTACCAAAATCTCCAAAGAACATTACTATCCCCCCCAGGAAAACAATCCCAAAACCCACAGACAATGACTTTGGCTAACTACAGGTCACTTATAATCAGTCTTAGAGTATAAAACATGACAGCTCAGAGCAGACAGTGTCTGCAGTCCTGTCCCCAGTCTGACAGTGTTCTGCAGTGCCTGATTTACAGTAAGGGACAACAAAACTCCCTTAATGAGCACTGATTGATTGACGTGTCCAATGGAAAGCCCTTTAGATAAGTGATATTATCACAGTACAGAAACTAAGCTTTACTTCATGCCCTGTTTTACAATATATATTTTTATTAGTGGACTTGGGTCTGTGTTGCCTAATTTTTATAATCCCCTTAGTGAGCTGTTACTTCCCCTCCAATGTTGACTAAAATTAATTACTCTAATGAAAACCTCATGCAGAGCTGTGCTTACACAAGCTCAGAACTACCTCCTGGTAAGCCCCAGCCAGGTTAACCTTGTAGGAGAATTCCAGTTCTGATGGACAATGTGTCTCTTCTGCAGGTGTTTTGCAGTCATAGTGTTTTGTTGTCTTTGAGGAACAATGCATTACAACAGCAAAAATCTGATGCACTTTAGATGTATAAGTAATCAAAATACACTATGATCATCTGAAAATTGAGGGAATTGGCTGTGTAAAGTAATAGTTTGAATTATAACCTACCTGGAGGGCACTGGCTGCAACATTTATTAAGTTCTTCATCATAGAATTCAGTCCTGGGATCGTTGCATTTTGCAAACCGTGGTGTATAAGGTAATGAATATTCCTAGGAGAAATCAAGGAGAAGTCATGAGTCACGAGTCCATTCTGACCCTGAATGAGAGACTCAAAAGATACAAACACCTAAAGACCAGTGCGATTACAAGCACCTTCCTTTCCGAGGCACTGATAAATAAAAGAGAATACAGCAGATGCCAAGAAGCTGCAGGGCAATAAGCAGCTAATGAGCTGCATGGGGGCTGTTTTGAGGTTCTTTTGTTTTCCAAAGATCAACCACCAGGAACAAAGTGATTTCTCCAGGTTTGAGGTTCAAAAGAGTTCAGTGGAGCTCTGGGATTATCATCCCACCCGGTCACTACTGCATGCCCCAAACCAAAGGGCTGAGTGCATTATCCTCAGCTGCCATGGCTCAAACAACATCTGACAAAACACCAGAGAAACCTCAAATCCTGCCTGTGAGTTTGTGGGAGAAATATTTACTTCAAAGTGGCTCAAAAACTTCAGTCAATCTTTCCAAAGAAAAGGAAAAAAGGCTTCTGATATTATGTGATTCCTTCCTGAGCAAGAAAGGCCTTGATGGTTTGAAAATAATGTCTCCAAAAATTGCACTGCTGCTTCTGAGAAGCAGCACCTTTGCAGAAGGTGCAAACAAATATGTAGGTTAAATGCATTAGAGACAATCATGAAATACAGGGTGCCTAATTTCAGCTCACACTGATCAGCACAGCTCAATGATTTCAATGAACAAGTGTCAAATTATTTGATGACTTACTGACTATTTTCAAAGGGAAAAATACACTCACTTAAAGAAGGCTCCTGTTAGGTAGGACAAGCGTAGGAGTTTCCTGCTAGACCAAAAAGCACTGTTTAAAAAGGATGTGACACTGCTCAGCTTTTTGCAGTCTGAAGAGATTGCTCCATGCATAATCTACACACATTTAGAGGAATCATTACTAAAATGAGAAATCAAAACAGGAACAAGCTCTTGGGAGGCCGGTAATGAAAATATCCTTCCACAACTGAAAAACATGTTGAATATCTATTGTGTCTTCACATTCCTGACAAAGGAGATTAATGTTTCCCACTCTCAGCAATTGCTTAAAGGGAATTCAGCATTTTCTAGTGCAGCTCATGAAATATTCTACCTCTTATTTAGCTGTGCTCAGAAACAGGATTTTGTCAACCTATTCAATGGTCAGTGTCAAAAAAGCCTTTTCTGAGAACATGGAGTCAGAGAAAAGTCTTCTTCTCTTTAGATGCCATAGGATGGACAATGATAAATCATCCTGTTTGCAAACTTGAGCTGACACTAAAATCTGATGAAGGAGAAAGGGGCTCTGCTCTCATCAAAAGTATTTTTCACTTAAGTTACTTTTTTATTAGAAGAGGAAATATCAGGTGTTGTCATCTCTTTTTGTAGTCACTATGATCAACTTCATTAAAACAAGCAATCGAGAGCCTTTTCCAAACATAAAACTTCACTGCAAGAGCAGACACAGGGGGGATCACAAATTACCCTGCTGGTGAGGCTTTCTGGCAAAAAAAAAAAAAAAAAA